ATATCCTATAGCTGCCATTGAAACGAACTCAAAATTAATGAGAAATAATAGGAAAATTAACATTTTTGCGATTTGTAAATTAATAGGAATTATCTGCAAGGGTATATAAGCTTCGGCTGGCCGAAGCTAGCTTCCTTTCTTGTTTTTACTATAAAATAAATAAGTATATTTTTCTATTTATTTATTTCTTTATTTAAAATATAAATATAGATTAGTAACAGCTGAAAATTATACAAATTGTATTAACTATGTTTTGTATTATGTTGCCCTAACTTTTATTTCATTTAACAGTGTTTTTTCTTTAAAAAACCCCTTTTGTTAGTTAGCTTAAATTAAAGAGAGCTTGTACGCAATATGCAGTCATTTCTCCATTGCACTTAAGAGTAGCGCAACCCACTATATATCACAATGTCAGCGCACTTAACATAGTTTATCCTCGTGTCCCTGTCGTTGTCTGTTGGTCTATTCTATCTCTGTCTCTTCCTCTATATCCATCTCTATCTCTGTTTCTACCCCCCTGCTTTAACTTCCTCCCACGCTGCCATTATGCACACGTCGCGCATAACCATAACGATTATGTTAATGCTCTGCAGGGTGGTGCAAGGGGGCGTGAGTGGGCGGTTGGGCGGTTGGGTGGTTGCGAGGGGAAAACACCTTGCTTCAGGCTTGTTCTTATGCTGGCTACCTGCTCGTCACTCGCCTTGGCTTATTTCTGCTTTATTTACATGCTCTAAGTAGTTGTAATGGGTTCTCCACAGTCTCGCGACAAAGTGTTGGCAATAAAGCCAGATCTCGTCCTTGGGTTTAAGCCATAGAGTGGCTATAGAAACCATGAATGACTCCTCTGCACCGGCTAGTTTTTCCATTTTCGCATGACATGGGATTTGGCCAACGCACGTGTATGTGTGTGGATAATGAGAGGCGAAGTGAATTACACAACGCATTCAATGGGCAAAAGGATTTTCCTCGGGGTCGTGCCTAAAAATTCGGAATGTGCAGAGCCTCATAAAGAGGGCATTACGACGCAGAGACCCGAAAAACTCAATTGCGCATGCAACGGCCGCTGGGAAAGCGTAAAACTTTCAATTTGCGTTAATGGCATTAAATAAAGTCACTTGCACGCACACACACATATCTCGGAAGGAACGTAGGGGTGGCAGGAAACGGAAACTGAAACCGAAACCGGAACCGAACCCATTCCCCTCTCATTGGCCAGCCACTTAAAAAAGGTTGCCAAAGCCGCTCAAATGGGCCCGTGTCGCCGGGTGTAAGTGCAGGCCGTGATGTTTTCCTTTGCTTCGGAAATCGCATTAAAAATCATTGGCGAGCCATTTGCAAGGTGGCCAAAACACGACATGAGCCCGACCGAAAAAATAAATAAATAAAAAGAAAAATGTAGCATGCGTGGCAGCAACAAGAGTTTCGTTTTCGGCTTAAAGCAGGTGAAATCTGGCCAAAAACAACCGAATCGACAGGAAGCAGCCCACCAATCAGGCAGCAAAACAACATGAAATGTCTGAGCAGAGGTTGGGGAATGTTGTACTTTAGATAAAGTTGCCGCTGCTCCATGTTTGTGCTTGATGTTTTGTAGACTTTGTTACAAACATTCAACATGCAATGCACGTAATGCCACAAAAACACATGCACACTTTTAGGCGCACACACACAGATACTCACTAACAAACACCTGGCAAAAGTTTTCCTTCAGAGACTTTTATCCCACTTTGCTTGTTGTGATATTTTCTTTCGCCAGCTTTGTACTCTTGCCGAGAGTGTGATAAGTTTTTCTAAAAACTTTGCCACGCCCGTCTCAAGTATATACATAAATATTTTTTCTCTATTCATCATTCAACTTTTTAAATGTGTTCCAGTGTCCAAGGCTTTAAGAAACTGAAACTTATCTGAAACTTGGATATGAATAAATATTATGTTTATCTTATTTTACAATATACTAAATTTGGTATTTCAAAACAGTATTTTAATAACTTTTATGAAATGTAAAAATACGAAGTTATATGTTTGAATCATAAATTTGACATTGATCATATCGGCTTTTTATTGATAGGAAATAAGGTAAAAAATAAACTATTTCATATTGAATTATTTTTCTGTGGAAGTAAACAACAAATCGGTTAGGGTATTTACTGTTTGCCTTGATTTCCCATGTTTTATTTTTCACTCAGCCTGATTTCTTGGTCTCTATTGTGTTGGGTTTATAAAAGAGAAAAGTTCGAAGAGCGAGGGAAAATTCAACCATTTGCCAGGACAAACCTCAGATATGCCCCACCCCCATCACGCATCCGCCCTGTGGGAGAACGTCAAAGAGTGTGGCTCACTTTTCGGGGCAAGGCCGAGCGTTGAACATGATTTGTATTTTACTTACATACCGTTGAGTAAATCACATGCACAAGCACAGACACTTCAGAAGCCCAGAAACTTGGGCATTTACCGAGCAACAAACAGCAAAACAACAAACAAACAGCTAACGGCTAACGGCAAACAGCAAACGGAAAACGGCAGGCGAAACAAATTCGAATCTCTCCCAGGGAACTTCACTTCACTTCGATGTCTGCCCTCGCCTCGACTCACTGCAGTAATAATAATAAAGGGAATTGTTATTGTTTTCTATTAATTTACTTTTGTTGCTGCCTGTTATTGTTGTTTCCCACTGTTCTTTAGTTGCCATCGCCACGTGTGTGGGTGTTCTGGGGTGTTCTTGGGTGTTCTGTGTGTAACATTTTTGTGCTGTTGTCTGCATTTGATTTGATTTGTTTGGTCTTGATTTTATCTGTTGAAAAATTGCTCAACCACGAGATCTGAGTCTGGGGTCTCTGCTGGAAATTGTCTGTCAGGTCGGCACTGAAGTGAGTAAATTGATATAAATAGATTTGAATTTGAGTGTGGAATGTGGAATGTTGTTTGCAACTGAAATGAATCTAGTGGTATGGGCTTTAATAACAATACGTAACTGCTAGGAAGTAAACTCTTAAATTCTAACATTATTTATCATATCAATAGATTGCCTTGTAGCAACAAATTAGTTATGCATTTAACTGATAAACAGTATAATTTTCAGAAAATCCCATAAATTAAATAAAATGTAATGTTCAGGCTGTGGGGATAAAACAAACTTCATAGCCAAAGTGCAGTTGAAAAAGAGAAAAATACTTGGCATAATTCGTTTTTCAATAGTCGTGGCCTATTGCAAAAATAATAAAAGCAAAATACTCAAGAACAGGCCTGCGGAGCAATTGCAAAATATTTCCCATGAAATGCTGCGCTTACATAAATATTTAAACTAAAGCCGAGGCATGAAAAGCATTTCTCTATCTGCACTTAGGACTCGGCTAGAAATGGGAAATAAAAGCCTTATGCCAGCTGGCGGCGCTGTATTTTCCCGGCCAAAGGAAGTGGACCTCGAAGGCGGAGCAACGTCTTCGTCTTCGAATTCCCATTTCCCATTTCCTCCTCCCGGGCCGAGTCCTTCCCTCATCCTTTGCCACCCCTTGCCATCGATCCTTGGGCGGCACGCTGACTAAGTGAGTGAGTGATGAATAAGTCCCTGTGTGTGCGTGGCTCTGAATGCGAGTGCAGGGATCTGGGCCAAGCCAGCTGTCCTTGGGCCAGAAAAACGCTTTTCAATAGAAAACTCAAACTGGCAACATGTTACAGATTGCTTGCTAAGACTCCAGCTCTTAGCAAAACTGAATTGCGTGAATGGTTGAAATGGGCTCGCAATGAGGCCAAAAATTTACGAAACAGAAGTCAAATATTTGATGCTCTGCCAAAATAATTATTTTTAACCCTTGCAGAATTACCTTCTGCTTCTAATGGGAAAATAAGAGGAAATAAAGTATAGCTTCGTTGGTTTTTATTGTATTCGCTTCTACTCTCGGATATAGCTCTTTTTTAGTATTTTAGAATTTCGAATTAAACTTGGAAAATAATCGGACGACAAGGAAGGATACAAAATAAAAAGTCAAAATGAAATTATAAAATTTAAAAGTTTGTAATTTGTTATTTAATAGAAATGATTTTTAAGGGTATAAAAGCTTCGGCTGGCCGAAGTTAGCTTCTTCCTTGTTTTCAATGAAATTTAATAATTTTCTATATTTTATATTTTTTGTCAACTAAAACGAGGAAAGTATTTGAATGATCATGATTCGGAATAAATTCTTATTATTTGAGCAGCAGTTGTTGCAGCGGAATAATGTATTTCATTTATTTTTGTTATTTCTGTTTTATAATTTCAACACAAATATATAAATATAAAAAAAAACTGAACCCATTTTCTATTAATTTTAATTTAAATCTGGGCATTTTTAAATTCCCTTGCTAAAAATTTTCTTCTCCTTTTTTTTGGCCGAACAATATTTTCACAGCTGTTTTCTGCTCTGGCAAATTTCCATAGAAAGCATTCGTTGGGCTGTCTGTCAATTGGCATTTGTTGTTCACGGAGTTGGCTTCAATTTGGTGCACGCACATTCGACGCCTTTTGGTTGCAAGTTGCTTTTGTTTTCGCAGCAAAGTGGCGGGAGAAGGATGAAGGTTTAGGTGGAGGTGGAGCCTCCTCCGCAGGACAGGACAGAGCTGATATAAGCCAAGTGTCTATCTCGCATCTTGTTGCTGTCATTTCAGGCTAATGTCTTCGCTCCATTTTCCCTTTTCGTGTCCAATGTCTATCGTCATTCCCATTTGCCTTTCCGCCCGTCCTTGTCCCTTTTCCCATCGCCTTTTTTTCCAACCAGACATTGCACTGAGTTGTTGTCCTGTTGTTGCCCCTGTTTTCTGCTGACACAGTCGGTAGTTTTTCCTTTTCGTCCTTGATACACATCATTCAAGCCTGCTTAACGTGTCCCATCATATTAACTTGGCCAAGATGCCACGATGCTGGAATTTATGCTGAAAGCAAAAACTGACTGTCAGCCTGGGTGGATTGAAGGAGACTTTTCGTTGAGTTAATTATTTTATTAAAATGAACTCTTTTTTCTTCTATTTGCAGATTCGATCAGAATTGGGAAAGCACTTAAAAAGGTATGTAACAGCAAGCAAGTAATAACATAAGATATTCTTTATTGAACAAATATTTTAAAAAGTGTATGATTACCAAAAATAAACAGAAGAAAGGTCAGCGCACTTTGCAAATCTAATTACAAAATCCATATACCTTGTGTGCTTTGCAGAGTGCCTCGCAGACTTTCCGCTTGGCAAAGTGAGCAGCAAATTTTCCCAGAAATTGGCCAAATGCCTGGCAGCAGCCTGGCCCAAACACCTGACCCCATCTCTAAAGCTCCAAAAGAGCTCCATGGCTGGCTTGGCACCCGGCAAAGTTAAGCAGCTTATGGCCCAAACTGATCAATAATAAACGAATTTAGTCGGGAACTCCGGCTCATTATGGATGCTCTGGGTGCTGGGGGATTTTCACTCGGAAATTTATAATCCACAAGGCAAACTGCAATTAAAGCGACTTAATTGTTTATTAATGCGCACTTCCCAGCCACGGCGTGAAAAAATAAATTAATTAGTTGCTATTTTAAATATGGCGCAGACAATTTAAAATGCCACGCCAGTAGAAATAAAACTCCCATTGCCGCGAAGGGCCGACTCCTTTGATTTATGCTCCCTGCACTTGTTCGAGGGGCCTGCATCTGAATCTGAGTCTGGAAATGGAAAAATGGAAATAAAAATGGGGGAGCCAATTTAATTGCTCGCTGGATTTTCACACTAAGTCCATGTTTCCTGCAAACAGCACAGAAATAGCCCCTTGAGTTAGGGAACATCACGAGCAAGAACGCAAGGAATGGGGAATATATGGTGGCGGGGGGCGTGGCGGGTCGGGGGCATGTCGTGTGATGATTAATGAGACAATTTTTATGACATCGCACAGTGGGCGAGCGCATGTAATAGTCTGCCGACATAAATATCCGAAATGTGGAAGCATTAAGTGGAAATGGGCAGATATTAAATTGATTACTTTACTACGGAGGGTTCTTAGAAAAAATCTTAAGTCTTTAAAAAAGTAAAAGCTTTGTGAAAGACGTTGTCAAGTTTTCAGTACAAAATTGGTTTTAGTATCTACACTTGACGATCGAGTTCATAAAAATCTTTATAGTCTGTATAATAGCTAAATGATCTATACATATTTTTTGAACCACTTTAACTTGAAAATCTTTCGCTTCAAAATATTTTATTATTTTTTATTTACTTTTTAATTGTTATTTACTTTTTAATTTTTACTTTATTTGAATTGTATTCAAATATTTGATGTTTTTAAAAAAGAAAAATAAAAGAAAATTGGTTTGTTTTCAGATTTGCGTATGATTTATACTAAACAAATTATTATTTTAATTATAGACTTGTATTACTTTTTGATAGAAAAGGTAATGATTCCATTTATTTCAAGTAATAGTTATGTCCCATACTGATGACGCTGTGTATAATGAATAATGGAGCATTTGAAATCAAGCCAAATAGTGTATATTTCGAAAGAACTCTTATTTATTTAATCCCCTGCTCAGCCAACTGCACTTCCAGCAACGGGCTAAACCGCCTAGTCAGAAAAGTAATCAATTCGGCTGTCACACAACTGCCAATCCCCGACCACTGTGCATTCGGTGCGGAGGAGTCTGATCCAAGGGGCACGAAGACTTGTCGCTGGCACATGAATAACATGAATTGCGTTATGAAAAATGTACAACAGCAGTTCGAGGAGATGGATGGATAGCTGGGGATGTTTTGGGGGGAGACCGAACATGAGGGGACTTTCGGGGTATATCTGGGTCTGCTGCCATCATTACAGAGCTGAGCGATAAGCGACGTTGCATGCGGCGACACAACCGACGATTGCAATATGATGGATATGAACGTACTCACATATGCAGGAGATGTGCGTGTGCCAACCGACGGACAAGAATGCGAATTGATGTGTCACGTGGGTGCAGTGCTGTTGACTTTGAGGGATTTATATGGAGAGCGCTGACAGCTGGCGAAAATTAGCTGCCAGTCGGTACTCATAGCTCCAAACTCCAAACTGGTTGCATTGAAAATGCCCAACTCCTAGCGGCATAATTAGCACAAACTCAAAACTTTGCGACTCCGACAGCAAGTGCTTACCATTATTATTGCTCTGGTTGTGGCTGCATACATAAGCGACCGGCAACTCAAATTTTGAGACCGAAATCCCAAAATGTCAGTGGCCGGCAGCAGCAGCAGCAGCAGACAGTGGAAGGCTGTCAGGGGACAGGACTTCAGACAGGAGCAGCAGCTGCTGCATGCCAGCTGCCAGGATGCCAGTTTGCCAGGATGCCTGTATTGCGGGCTTGCCAGCTTTCCAGCGAGTAACAATGCAGCAGAGCACTCAGCAAAACTGCAGTAGCACTCAACGCTCTCATTATTCAAATGTGTTTTTCGATTTGGCAAAAAGTTATGCTCACCATCGTCGGCTAAAAAAGAATCACTCAAAAAAATGAATACAACTTTTTCGTAAAAACTTAGGGAAATAAAATTATAATCACATCGTAAAGGGAGGATGATATTAACGTTAAGAGTACGAAGAATCACATTATTTATTCATCATCTTTAGATTAAGTTTCTTATGATTGATTCATGATGATCTTGCAGTCAATTTATCCTGTCCGTTGGCAGCAGCTAGGATTCTTGTTGCAGCGTGGCCATGGGGGACAATGGGGTTGTCCTTGTGTAGAAACTGGGGAAGTAAAGGATGCGATCCCAAAGATCAGAGACAAAAATGCAAAGTGCCAGAACATTTTAAACACAGATCTAAATTCCTAGTGAAATCAGGTGTTGCTAACGTGAATAATTGTTACACCGTTTGGAATTTTCTGTTAAAAGAAAAGTTAAGACTTCTACTAATTCAAAATAATGGTATTAAAAACAATTAAAGCGTAAAATTAAAAAATGGAACCTAAAATCTTTAATAACTTAATGACAATGCCTTATGTTTCGTTTTAGTCTCAATATATCAAAGTTTCTCAAAGATAAACCTTTTGACACAACAGATAATTTTACCACTACAGTTTTAATTGGGATTATAAATGCAAGCTCTCTGCATTAATGTACAAGAAATACCCACGTGCAGTATTATACTTCGTAAAGCTTTTACCAAAATATTCTCAAATATACGTACCCATTTCAAGTTATTTTCCAGCTGCACCTCCACGACCGCATGGGTTATCTTCTCACTTGTCATGCATTTTCTAGCCAGCTCTCACAAAATCCCCCATCTTCCCCCTCATCCATCCCCCTGCCATCCAGCTACCTGTTCTATTGCCGTAACAAATCCATTTTACCTGTCAGCTTTAACGCGTAAGCAAATGGCAAAGCGGCAGCAGCTAGCTAAGAAAGAGCGCAAAAAGTACAAAAACCCAAAGTGGAGAGCTATCTACATACATGAATGTATGTAGTAAGTGGGTGGTGTGGAGGACGTGGCACCTAGGGGGTGGAGGGTTAGGGGGCCCCTGATATATTGCCGAGGCGCAATTAGAGCACAGACCGCAGAATGAAACGAAACGCTGGCTGCCGTGTAAACAAGCCACAATTGCGCTGGCGACGAGGAAGAAAATGGAAATAATTAAGCCTAGGCATACCGCACATTAAATGCCCTAACTAAAATTTTTAAATATATATTTCAATTTGGTTTTGCTTACATTTAAAAATTATATTTTAATACTCGATAATTAGTTATTTTATATGCTTTTAAAATAATGTTTTTATTATAGTATTATATTTTCAGCTAAGTTGATAGCAAACCTTGACAATTGGAAAAAAATAAAAAATATAAATAATACAATTTGGTTTTATTTTTTTTTAAGTAATAGCATATTAGAGTATTTACTAAATTCAGTTGTACAAAAAAACTCCTGGGATTTATTCAAATCCATAAGAAATCCCCCATACCCTTTTTGATAGCAGAAAAAAGGAAATAAATTTTAGCGCAAACAAAATCAAGCACATCCAACCCACACAGCCATCCCCATTTAGACAATCAGACTTTTGTGCTCCTGCTACCGTCCTCCCGTGTGTGTGCACACTGTACAGTGTGTACACGGAGCACACACAATTGCGAATTACGAAAACGAATTCGGAGCAAGTCACAAATGGAATCGCATTAAATCAAATCAAACGAAACGAAATCAAATGAAACAATTCTGGGCAGATGGGATGGCCGGAGAATTCCCTATCGAACGACGTGTAAATCTCGGATGACATCCGAGCATATTGTCGACTAATTAAACGCATGTGCACGGGGTGGTACCTTCTACACATAAGCGCTAATTAGTCTCGGGGCACTGACAATGTGACATGGGCGCAGATCAAACGGTTGACTTTAGTACCGCCGCTCAGGTCCTAAGTTACTCTGCACTCTCTATTTTATTTGGGTAGCGCATCTCGTCCCAGGGCGGCATTTTTTATGCCGTGCTTACCCCTCAGCATTCAGGTCGAGCGAAATTAAACGAAAACACAGCATTCGCGAAAGATCAAAGCGGATGCGACAAGTCTTTGGGGATCCCGAAAATTTCCAAGCTGTCCGTGCTGCGAAATTTAAATTAGTTGCCCCGTTTAGCAGGGGAACATGAATGCTAAAAATAGCCGGTATAACTTTTTCCATTACTTCATTGCCGATTTATGTATGACCTTTGATGCATTTCATCGAGAAATTTGAAGAGGAACAACTGTAGCTATCATTATAATATTTATCTCAAAGTCAACGTGGTCAAAGTGTATTAAATTTAAAACAAAATAACTAAAATATATAAACAATTCAAAGAAGAAATTAAACATATTAACATATTACTGCAGTCTGCCAAACACCTCCACGCTGTGAATAAGAAAATGATTTAGTACATAGGGTATAGAGTTCCTGACAAATACCTACTGATATATGCAGGTGGAGTTCGCACCGTGGTTCGAGTTGAAGGCGAGTACCAGATTCCGAAATAAGTGGGCGTTGTGCACACTGTAACTTTGAGTGCGCCTATTGGCCGCGTTATCGAATGTCCACTGTCCCAGCAGCTGGCGCTTGGAATTGTCCGTCGGGAGACCCTGGCGAAAGAATCAGTTATTAAGAATCGGTAATCAAAATCTATTGACACACACAACAATAAAACAAATCTCTCTCTCCCTCGGAGATTCTCTGACATCGAAAAAAATAAGACTTAAATTACGTGAGTGGAAGCAAAATACATACACACTCTCAATTCAACAGTTACATAATTGGCCTGTCCCTTACATTTCGAGCACATCGGATTGAGATGGCCGCATATCAAGCCAAAACTGATACCACCCAACATCAAATCGATCATTGTTTCATATCACGCGTTGCTTTGGATGTACTCACATACACATCGAAATCCTTGGGGGCACTTTTCACACACAAGTCGGGCGTCATTTCGCGGGCCACGTGGGTGAGGGTTAGGGTCTCCACGACGATGGTCTTGGCCAGATGAAGGGTCACGGTGGCCCGGCTTCCGTTGAAACCGAAGCAGGCGCCCGGCGAAAGTCCTGGGCGCAGCATATTTACCGGCGGATTGGCGCTGAAATCCAGGCCGAGTAGCTTCTTGATTATGTTGGTGCCCCCAATGGGTCGGGCCTTCACATCGATGATCCTGGCGCCCAGATCTTCGGAGGCGTAGTTAATGCGAGCTTTGGCCACCGAAACGGGCTCTGTTTTTTGACTAGACGAGGCAGTCCGAGCGGAGCATTCGCCCTTGGACACCTGCTTCTTCAGGTTGTAAACATCGTCCATTAAATGCCCAATCTTTCGCTTGAACAGCGAGTCCACATAGGCACTTACATCCCGGTTGTCGCATTTGCCAGATCCACCGCCGCTTCCCTTGGGCTCTCCTCCCAGGCAGTGGAACCTGTCCGAGATCTGGGCATCCTTGCTGTCCATCTGCTGCTGGCGGAGCATGTGCTGAGGAAATATTTGCGGGTTAGTGGCTTCTCTTCTAGGAGGTAAACACTCGCCCTCACCGAAATATCATCCACATCCTCGCGAAGACGCTTTATTCCCCTGTTATTCCGGCTGTTGTACGCCATTAGGTAGTAGAAAAACGCCGAGAGCAGTAGGAAAGAAAGCAAATAAGTGAGGCAGACTCGCCTGCCAGCGCGTCGGCAACCGTCCATTTCGGATATAGAATTTTCAGTCAGCTTCAAATATTTTTAAAAGAAATATGTTCAGAGGCAACTAGATATGTGTTCCTTATAATCACTGCTTTATTTTTACCCCCATTCATTGCGACGACACTCGACCACAAGAAGAAGCGTTCGATAATGGGGCCAAAGGAATTCAATGAATCAAATTTAATTCCCCAAGAAAATCGCTGGAAAATGAACAATTGCCGAGAATAATGAGGCGAAATCGCATTAGGTGCGGCAGCATCTGCGAAAGTCTCTAATTGTCAATGGCTAAATAATTGAGAGCCGAGAGCAAAGGAAGCGAAAGGAGGGAAAGGCGAATAGAACGTAATGGCATTAAGGAAAAATCCAAATGAAAATCACTTTAAATGCTAAACAGCTGGTTTGCCGGCCGAGGCGAAATAAAAACACATAGAGCGCCTTCGGCCCTTTAAGCATCCATTAAAAATTTAATAACTTTGGCCCGGGCCAAATGCAATTTTGTGAAAATTTCTAGCAAAATTAATTAGTCAAACAATCCATCAGGACTGGGCTGCCGGACCTTAACGTGCTGGCCAGGGCCCAAGCCCAAAAGGCCGGTCCACAGTCCAGAGTCCACAAAAAGGTACGAAGTCCCGCAGAGAAGGCAACGGTGAACGTGACCATCCGCAGTTTGGGCGGAGGCCTGTTCATCCCATCCGAGTCCTTTTGGCCCAGCTCACGTGCGTTGCCTAAGCTGGCAAAATATTGACCCGAGGACCGGAGCTGAGAAATTTGGGTTACAGTCGTCCGAAGCCGAATCCGACGAATCCCAACACTTCAAAGGCCGCAGCGAATGTAATTTTAATCAAAAATTGCTCAGCCCCAAAGAAATCGCAATAGAGGAATTCAGAAATTCAGACATGGCCGCTAATCCCTTTTAAGGGCAAGCGACGGGCTCAAGTGGGTTATTTTTCCGCATTTCATTTCCATGTATTTATGGCTAGCACAAATATTTCGATAACTAGAAAGTCTTAAATAACTTTGAGGGCCATGTCCACTTCGTGCTCAACAATTTTCCCGTTTAATCGACTTTTGTGCTGCGCAATCACGACCCGAAACATTGACAGGGAGATGGAGACATGTCCACGTCCACAGACAGCAGACACTAGACGGGGGACAATTAATTTTTAATGCAAGTCGCTCGACTGATCAGCAGCAGAGCCGGACACAAACAAAAACGGCATCGTTGAGAGCAAGTGGCACTGCTAATTGCACTCATTCACACGGCAAGCGACAACAAAGGCGGTCTGAAGAGGCGTCCTCGGCAGCAACAACTGCAGAAGATTGCAACAACATCGGTGGCAAGTCGGCGGCGAGGAGAAGGAAGAGGAGAAAGAGCCGTCTCCTTGACGCACGGAAACGGAAGCGTTAGTTGCAAGGATATGTTGCAGTGGCGCACAATAGTTGGGGTTACCGTGGTACGAGGCTGTAACTTTAGGTGCAGAAAATTGGGGGTCTTCATTTTAAACAATTCTAAAGAAAATATGATTTATGTTTTTAAAATTGTATTTTATTTAATGTCTTGTTAAGAGACAAAATTACAATGTTTAGTAGTTTCACAAAACAAAAATTGGATTTTTACTTAATATTATAGTTTCCCTTATATAAAGATTGATTTTTGAACTAGCTAAACTAATTGAATTGGATTACGTACATCAATGGACAAAACCAACCGTCTTTGGTTGGAAGAGATTTCTGTGACACCCCCGGAACCGAAAGTTAAAGTTACTTAAAGTTAAGAAATGCTAGACCACTTTTAATTTATTCATTTTTTAAGTTCGATTTGTTACATCGAAATTCATTCATTTGATCAAATTCTTGATTCCCAAATAAGGATTTATCCGATAAATTTATCTGATAAATCTTTGGTTCAGTAAACCATTACCCTTACCTTACCCAATAACATCGATTGGTCCCACTGTGCGTGCTGCGATTGTGTGCACTGCAATTACGTGCCATTGAGGCAGCCCATTGTTAGTGCACACTGCAGATAGCAAATAGTCGCATTCCGAGGAGGGAGTCCCTTCGGAGTCCGGCATTTACGACGACGCCCCCGTCTTTGTCGCACTCCACTGGCATTGTCATTGCCTATTTCCGGCGTAATTGTTATGCCAATTTTTAGGGGCCAGCCAGTGTGTGAAATTAAATGAAAATCAAATAGAGCCGGGGAGAACGAAAAGAACACATAAATGCGGTTAAATTTGCAGCGTTAAATGTTAACAGTCGATTTTGCAATGCCCACAGCCGTCACATAAAAATATCAACGCGTATTTGCGTGCTCCTCTCTTATCTACTTGGAAAAACCCAGGGAAAACCCTTGCCAGCGATAAGCCCCCCTCTGCCATCAGCCTCTGACATTGCTCGTCATCATCATTCCGGCTTAGACTTTGGGGGAGTGCAAATTGACAATTTCTGTGAAATTGCACAAATACGAGCCTGTGCTCCAATTTTTTATGGCAAATTACCCAGCCGCATGTGTGGATGGCTCGGGGGCGATGGGGCGTGGCTTTCGTGGGGTTTCGTGGAGCCTCCCAGGCAGGAAAATGTCATAAAACCGTTTGGTTGACGCCGGGCGCTACGGTTGGGTTTTTATGATTGGTTTTTAGGCGGCTTTTCCTCCCGAAAGAGGCAAAAGAAAAGGGAAAAATAAATAAAATATAAACTGCGTTATGTTTATGCGCAAAAAAAAATGGGAATCGGGAAGCAGAAAAAGCTATCAGGACGTCATCAGCCAGCGTATAATTAAACATTACGCAGGGGCAATAAAAAGATGAGACAAAAAGAGGAGGATTTTGAATGGTCCTGAAAAGTGGAATAAAAATGCACAGCATATGACATTACGATAGAAGAATGAGTGCTGATTAGCGTTGGGTAAAAACCCTGCCATTCTTTTAAACCAACATAATTCACCCAAGCTATTTTCCTTAAATAAATATATAAACATTACATTTTTTATTTGTACCCAAAGCTTTTGTTAGCACTTTGTGCTGTCGATATTTCTTGGAGCGAAAACAAACATTTTGAAAAACAAATTTATTCCTTGGTGTGCTCCAGATTTTCCCTTTGGCAGCTGTTGTTTTCGAGCAAAGTTTCTCTTATATTAAAAAGCAATTAAGCTGCATATAAGAGTACATAAAAGTTAATAAACGGGCAAACTGCATAAATTTCCCCATTTTATCAAGCTTTGTTTTTAGTATTTTTGCTTATAATTTACGCAAAATAAGAAATGTCCCCTCTGGTATTTGTTTTCGATAGCAAAAATGCTACCAAATATTTGCGAAACTTTAAAAGCAATTAAAAAGTTTGTGCTCTGCTATGATTTCCCCTCGCCACTCACCTCAGGTCCGAAATGAACTTTCCGGGCAGCAGCTGCTGTTGGCCAAGAAAATGGCAACATTAGGGCACACATATACATATACCCACGGCATAAACATAATAATGATAAACATAATGTGCCGCTGAGTGCCTGGAAGTATGCTTAATTCTGTGCAACTTTAGTGCCTTTAAGTTGCAGGCGGGAGACAAGAAAAGGGAAATCCCCCAGCTGGACGCTGGGAAAAACTGGTGGGGAAACTTTGCTCCTTTCTCTAAGTGCACATGCCACAAACAACCTAAGCTGCTGCTAGGCAAATGTACATCGAAATGCGATGCGAAATGGCAGCAGGACGAAAGTGCTCAAAGGAATGCCGGCTGAGGCGTTTATTTGCGTTTATAATGTGTGAGCTATTAAAATTTTAGAGGCTGTTAGTGGGGCTGTGTTCGTGTTCGTGCGTCGTCTGGCGCACTTGAATTAAAATTGTTTCTGCAGCAGCATAAAATGAAAATTAGTTGATTTTTTTCGTTCTTTTATACGGCGCGAGGCTCTTAAAGCTTTTAGGGCAGCACCAGCTGCTGCAAACAAAAATCTTTTAAGTGAAAATTCTCACAACGCTTGCCTGAATTACATTCACATTCATATTCATATTTGTATTTTTGTTTGCATTTGTGTTTGTGTTGGCAAGCGTAAAGTGGAAATTAACATAAAACAGCGGCAACACGGGGCGAATACTTAATGTCAAGCCGAAGCACGGATGCCCTCGAAAAAAATGCACGAATTAATTGCACAGTCAGCGGGCAAACATTTCTAAGATCTCTATGGGATATAAAATATTTAATTTATGCTGCAGAATTACCGACTCCGTCCATGGACTCTTTATCTTCCCGCACATCTCAGTCCTTTTTGCAGCCCGCAGAGCTTAACGAACCCAAAAGTCCCGGCTCTTTTATTTACTTTTATATACATATTTTTTGCCATAAGCCAGGGCATTTTTTGCACCTCTCGGATTCAGCTGCAGCTTATTTTTGATGCATATTTTATTTTGCCATTGCATGCGTAATTTTATTTGCCGCCACGCCCCCTGCGCCCATGGAGAGATCTCCACGGTGTTGTTGCTGCGGCTAGTTGCGGGCTCGTAATTCGTAGCGAAGGTATAAGTTTTATGACCATTGCTGCGATTTCTGTAGCCAGTGCTGCCTGTATCGCTGTTTTCTAGCTAAATAAATTTAATAATAAATTCTTAAATTTTGATAATAAACCTACTGAGTATACTTCTACAATCACCACCTCACAACTTAAGGTACTAGATTGGAAATGGATGTTGGGACTTTCGGCTGGATAATTTATCTTGCTTTAGAAGGGACTAGTGTTTCTTTAATAACTACGAAAATAATTTTATAATAATAAATTATAAAGATAAATAAACTATTTTGTTTTAAAAAGGTTTATTGATCATACTGCCCACAAAAATCATTTTTAATATATTCCTAATTTGTGACATTCTATATAAACATAAGACCATTTGACTTTTGGGTGGGTGCCATATCTTAGGATTTGAGATCAAATTATAAGGTGTCTAAAAGTATGCAATGAAAATGAATCTGACGGACTTTCAAACTAGAAAGCTATTGCTGCTTACTTTCTTTTACACATTTTTCTAAGTCCTAGAGATTTTTGTGGCATCCTTGATATATTTCAAATATTTTAGCTATTTTTCTTTAGCCGTAGCTGACAACACAGGTTGTTGCTGCTGCTCGGTCTCCTTTGGCAGGCTGTAAAAAATTTATGCATTTTACAACAAAATGCCGCTTGTTGTCGCCACTGTGGCTGCACCTGGGCGGATTGTTGTCGTCGTCGTCGCTGCCAGAATATGCACGGCAATGTGCCAAATTAAGTGCTCTGCCTGCCAAAAAGGAGCGGCGAAAAACACGAGAAAAAACGTATCTCGACGGGACGAGGTCCTGTGCCAGGACGACGTCGCTTAAGTTGCGATGTAAATTTTAATTTCCACATGTTATGACATGTTCGCAGCGCCCCTTTGAAGTTTCCCACGGCTGCATGACTAATTCCGAGTGGCGCTTTAAGAGGCAGAGGCCCCAGGAATTTTAGTAGAAGGAGACTTTTTAAGTTAGTGTTGTTAAATTTGGTAATGCAATTTGTTGGTCCACGAAGAAATCGCCCGGAGTGCTTCGGTTGTTGTTGTCTGGCTTCGCGTTGCCCACGGAAACAAGCAAACGCTGGGAAAATTGCCATTTTAACGAAGCTGTTGATAAGATTTTAATTAGGTTTAGGCTTATTAGATGGCCTAGACCATAAAACTGTGCGGTTTTTGGAATATTCTGAATGTTAAGCATTGAGACAGGGATACGAAAATTGAAATTAAACGCGATAAATTTTAAGATTTTTAATAAATGAAACTGTTTAAAGTTAAAAGAAAAATGTGTTAGATAAACCATCTCCACATAATTAACACTGTTACTGAGGGTTTAAAAGTCAAAGCTACCTGACAACCAAATAAATATCATGAGGGTATAATTCCACCTTTCAATTTGCACATTTAATTATCACGCATACGTCATGTTGGACAAATGTAAACAAAAATATCTTGTAAGCTCCGGCAAAGTCGCATTGCGCACACAAATTATCCGCATCGATTGGCCGTATTATCAGGGCCATCAATATTTCAAAGGGATTTCACAGCAGCCCGATAGCGCAATCAATTCCTTATGAAATTTTCATTTGCTCGTGAGTGAAAGGTCAATTTGGTGTAAATGCCTATTGATTTTTTTCCATCGGTCTGAAACGAAATGAAATTGAAATTATTTCGAATGACAGCAGTTTAGCAGACGTGTCAATGCCTGGGACATGTGAAAAATAAAATAAATATTTATCTAGCCCGAATAATTCCGGCAGTAGGCAGGCAGGAGTTGAACAAATCTCTGAAATTGCCCAAGGCTGCTGCGTTCATGTCGTCTTATTAAATCACACAGGATAGAAAAAGTTTCATCCGGGGATGATGGAAAGGGAAGTTGGAGGGCGGAGGGTGAGTGAGTGCTTCACACTCTGGCAGAGGTTCAACTGCCTCTTGGTCTCGACTGTCAAATCATTCTGTGATAAGGATATAACAAATGTGCACACTCCACTCGCACAGATGCGAGCCAGGATTTTCTATCTCGTGTCTGTGTGTGTCTGCTTCATAACTGACAAATGAAAATGTCAAAAAATGTTTGCTGACAAGCCAAGCAAATGAGAAAGAACATTTTCCATTTATCTCTGGGCCCAAGTTGCCTAAAAAGAGAGAGACATTTCCGAAATTTAATTAAAATTTCGATTCGGCTTAAACTGACCGAAAACCAGAAAACAGCAGGACAGAACTATTAAATGCTTCAATTAGGCGAAAACCAATAAAAGTATTTACCGTTGACCAAACATAAATGGTAATAATGAATTTTTCTTTAAGGAAATTTAGTATGTTATGAGGAAATTCCTTTTGCGTAATATCAGTACTGATGTATATTTATCTAATTAACAGACGGCCATTGTGTAAGTCGGGGCCTTAAGTATCCTCACCTGCCCGGTGTATCATTACAATCTCGGCTTCCATTTCAGACTAAGCACCATACATTTGAGTGAAGGCCGAAAGCAGCTGCGGCAACAACATTAGGCCATTGAAAGTCGGTGGTCATGATTAATGTTCGGTTATTAATAATGTCGTCCCGTCGTTCGGGGAGAAGACTTCAGGTGCCTGCCAAATCAAGTCAATTTGCTGGAATCCGAGTATCCATTACGCATTTGCATTGGCGCCAGACGGTTCGTTTTCCCTCTCTAAGCCAACTGAAACTCGAGTTGGCCCGTAGTCTTTTGGCGTGGGAGGAATGGCAGCTAATGAAGCGATGGAATCTTTTCGGATCCGCCTTTGCTCGACCAGCTCATCTTGGGTTTCCCCGAATCTCAATCTGAAGCAAAACCAAAACCAGAGGCGAAATCTGGGGCTTTGTTTTATGTTGTTCCTCCTGCGCACAGCACAATAAACCTGCATTTAAGTTAATTTTCCTGTAATTTATCTGTTATTTAACTAAGGCGGCCATCGTGCAATATGTTGCATGATTTATGCCTGACATTTTCAATTGTTTATTGCTCTCGTTTCCTGCTGCTCGACTTCGGTCTGCCTTTTGTTTTTCACTTAGATTAATTTTGACAAATATAAATGTCAGCCCGGACCCAGGGGAATTTAATGAACTGCCCTCATAAAAATATGAATAATAAGCAAATAATGTCGGGGACAAGGTGGACAGAACATAATGATGCACCATAATGGGGCCAGCAAATTATTGGGATTATATCAACAAAGCGACCAATCCATTTCCATCCAATTAAAGTCGCACAATGCGATGCACTCGATTGGTACTTTCGCTGTGTCAATTTCCATTTCATTTTATCCAGCCCGGATATAAATATTTGCATAACTGCGATATCGATTCTGCAATAAGAGTGCAATAATTAGCTTGTTGCGGCCCTTGATTCACTTGCCATCTGAAATCGAACCCTACCGATCCGATTCGATTCCATTCGATCCGATTCATTATGCAAGAAAACAAACACTTGAATAATTGAGAAGCCCCTGACGGCGAGAACTATTAAAAATAAATCAGCCAGCTCAGACGCAGAAATTGCCTGTTTTTATTGGGAATAAATTACGTTCGCTGCGTTTAATTTATGGGTCTATGTCACGCAGATAATGAGCCAAATTATTTTCAATTTATTTGTGCGTTAAAGGCACGAGGGCAAAATTAGTTTGACCATAATCACAGGGTGTAGGGATTAGTGTAAAATGTTTGAAAACTATATTCCTGTTATTTAATCGCATTTTGCATTTTACACATTTAAAATCAAAGGGTCGCAGCTTTTTAATTAATTCTACAATGACAGCAAGATAATTAATGACTAATCGAAAGGGGAATATTGGTTTTTCCGTAATGAATGGCTTAAAAATAAGCTCATAAATATTTTTAAACACCTTTATTTAGATAGGACTATTCATTCTTAGTCCTTTACAAATTATAATTTATAATATTAAAAAACAAAGTAATTAATAAAACATTTTAGATTGACAGCAAGATTATAAGTGACTAAGATAATGGGAAAATTGGGTTTTACTAAGGTGGGGCTAAATTTATAAGCCCATTAATATTTTTGAGCATATTAATTTAGAAAAATTATTCATTTTTAATTCTCTAAAAATAATATTAAAACATTTTAATATTAATATATTAACATTTTATTTTTAAATTAGTTGTTACATAAATATAATAGCTTATAAATGTTTTTCAACACATTTATACTTAATCCTTTACAAATTAAAACTCTAATTATTAAAAAAGTAATTATTTAAAAATTTTAATCTTACTAATCCCTTTCCGTTGTCTTTTTTTAATTTTCTTGCAGAAAGCGGCATTTAAGGACACACAAAACAACTTCGACAAGAACACGCGGCAAATGCATTACATTATAATTTCATTAAGGACAAAAGCCTTTCTCCGCCGGCAGTGAAACAACGTTGCCGGGAGATAGCAAAGCGAAGAGGAGCGGAGAAGAAAGGATAAAGAAGAAAGAAAGTGAGAAAGCCGCAAAGGCGACAATAGGCCCCAAGCCTTCTCCATTGCCTACTTCTGGGCGCTGTCGAGCGAAAATCAAGAGCCTGGCATTTTTATGAAATTAATACAAAGGACGTCGCGGCAGCAGTAGAAGTGGCAGCGAAAGCATAAGCGGAAGTGGCAGCCATGACAGGACAATGATGGGTGGCACCACTCCGATAACGATTAAAGTGGGAGCAGCGCTGCTTTTATGGCCCAACGAAGAAGAGGAAGCACTAGACGTGACAGCGTCCGATCGGCTAATAATATTTACCCGCGCAGAAGACGCGGCTGCATAATTTGACATGCCAACGTGAGCAAAATATTTACACAAGAGCTAGAAAGCCAGCGAGGACTGGAATTCCCAAGTACTAAGAATAGAAAAATCTCCTTAGACAATGAGTGTCCTGCCACTTTTGATAGCGCTCGTCGCACTTTTATCCCTGGGCCTGGCCTGTCCGCCCGAGGTGTGTGTGTGCAAATGGAAGGGCGGCAAGCAGACGGTGGAGTGCGGCGGCCAGCAGCTCTCCAACCTGCCGGAGGGCATGGATCCGGGCACCCAGGTCCTCAATTTCAGCGGCAACAGCCTGCAGGTCCTGCAATCGGAGCGTTTCCTGCGCATGGACCTGCTCAACCTGCAGAAGATCTACCTGTCGCGCAACCAGCTGATTCGCATCCACGAGAAGGCCTTCCGCGGCCTCACCAACCTGGTCGAGCTGGATCTCAGCGAGAATGCGCTGCAGAATGTGCCCAGCGAGACGTTCCAGGACTACAGCTCCCTGATGCGCCTCTCGCTAAGTGGGAACCCAATTCGGGAGCTGAAGACCTCGGCCTTCCGCCACCTGTCCTTCCTGACCACGCTGGAGCTGTCCAACTGCCAGGTGGAGCGGATCGAGAACGAGGCCTTCGTGGGCATGGACAACCTGGAATGGCTGCGGTTGGATGGCAATCGCATTGGCTTCATCCAGGGTCCGCACATCCTGCCCAAGTCGCTGCATGGCATCAGTTTGCACAGCAACCGGTGGAACTGTGATTGTCGTCTCCTCGACATCCACTCCTGGCTGGTCAACTACAACACACCACTGGCCGAGGAGCCCAAGTGCATGGAGCCGGCGCGACTTAAAGGTCAGGTGATCAAGGGTCTGCAGCGGGAGCAACTGGCCTGCCTGCCGGAGGTGAGTCCCCAGTCCAGCTACACGGAGGTCAGTGAGGGCAGGAACATGTCCATCACCTGCCTGGTCAGGGCCATTCCAGAGCCCAAGGTCCTGTGGCTCTTCAACGGCCAGGTGATGAGCAACGACAGCCTGGTAGACAACCTGCACATGTACTACTACATCGACGAGACGATCGGGATTAGCGGGGCGGAGGAGAAGCGCAGCGAGATCTTCATCTACAACGTGGGCGCCGAGGACAACGGGACCTTCTCCTGCGTGGGCCAGAACATAGCCGGCACCACGTTCAGTAACTATACATTAAGGGTAATTATCAAGGAGCCGCCGGTGGTGAATGAGGTGTCCTTTCCTCGCGACTACATGAACTACATTGTGGCCAGCAGTGCCGGCGGCGGCATCATCTTCGTGGTGCTGCTCTGCACCATTGTGGTCAAGTGCAAGAAGCCCTCGGAGCCGGCCAAGCAGCGCAAAAAGTGCGACCAGGTGACGAGCATAGCCGGCGGCACGGACTCCTCCACGGGCAGCACCCAGGACACGGGCATGGGCATGATGAAGTGCGCCTCGATCTTGAACGATGGCGGGGATAGTCTGAATGGCAATGCGGGACTTTTAATGGGCGATACACTCACGCCCACGAAGGCGGCCAATGGAGCTGCCGGCGGTGGGATTATCCTGGGCAATCAGATGAAGCAGAACCTGCTGCTGTACGCCACTCCCAATCCCCCCCAGCAGCAGCAGCATCAGCAGCTGCAGCTGAATGTGAACCTGATGGGCGCGGGACCGGGATCGCCACCGCTGCTCCTCAGCAACGGTCATGGACTGGCGGCCGCCTACTGCTCGCCGCCCGCCTCGCTGAGGAACTACCAGGAGAAGAATCCCGATCTGGTCAACGATGCGGAGAGCGTGAAGCACAAACTGAAGACGGCGGTGAGTCTGGACGGGGGAGCCGGGGAGTACGAGACGCAGAGCGACTGTGGGCAGTACGAGGGCTGCTATCAGCTGGCCGCCGCCGCCCCACATCCAGTGCACCAGCATCCGGGGCAGCATCCGCTGATGGGACGCTTCGCCCAGGCGATGACCACCTTGCCGCGCGGCATGCAACTCAAGCCGGCTCCCCATCAGGTCGATGTCCATCTGAATCCGGTGTGTTTCCTGGGCCAGGATGGATCCTTTGCCTACGACTACAGCAGTGCCCACCTGGTGCAGCAGCCACCCCACCAGCAGCAGCAGCAGCAGGTGCAGCCGGCTGCCAACTTCTATCGCACCTTGCCACACAACAGGTTGCACAAGCAGCAGCAATTCCAGGCGGCGGCGGCAGCGGGCGGCAATGTGGGTGGTGGCAATCCCAATCAGCCCACCCTGCGCTACAGCCTCGAGGCCGAGTTCATCCAGCGGGGACCGACGGTGAGCTACGAGAAGTACCAGCTGCCCAATGTGCGCTTCACCGCGGAGGGTTATCCGCAACAGCAGCAGCAGCAGCAGCAACAGTTGCAGCTGCAACATCAGTTTCCCTCGCCGCCAGAGGGCTACAAGAGCGATCTGGCCATGATGCCGGCCCCTTTTCAGCAGTGGCCCAGCTGTCTGCCCGGCTACCGCTTCGCCCAGTCACCCACCAGCCAGCAGCAGTCACCTGTGGTAGCACCACCACCACCATCGCAACCACAACCACCGACGTCTTCGGCCGCAGGCACACAATCCACACACACCATCCCCGAGCTGGACGAAAGCGAGGCGAGTTCGCCGCGCCTCGAGGAAGCCGCCGGCTCTGCGGCGCCACCTGGCGGCGAGGAGGAGAACCCGGCCACGGACAGTGCGAAACTCAAACAGCTTAACGGCCCCTTGGCCGACAGTCCCGACGAGGGCTACGTGGGCGATGGCCAGGAGACCAGCGACATTTGACCCGGCCATCAGCAGCTGCAGCAGCAGCAGCCAACTGCCAGGGAGGAAGCGGCCTTAGACGATTCAGTGGCCCTGTAAACGGCCATTTCGATCAGCAAACCACTCATAGCCTAAGTTCCGTCCCACTGATTTTGCTTTACTTACTCTTCCACTCGTTCTTTCTGTTTGTTGGTTTGCCCGCAAGAAACAAGCAAACAAAAGGCGGACCCAAGTTTAACCTAATAATTGGTGAGGGAAAGAGCCCGAAAAGCGAGTCCGAAAAGGAGAAGGCCCAGAAAACCAAATAAAATGTTGGGAAAAGCAGAAACAGGAATTCTAGGGAAAGCCGAAGTTTAAATACCCAAACTAAGGGCCGTTCTCTCGACCGCCGGTTAAATTTTAAAGAGCACTTTAAGCTCTAAAGCCTCCAAAGGTTCAATTTCCAATTGATTTTATGAAATTTTAATAAATTTAATTTAATTAGTTGAGATTATATGATAAATATTTTAGTTATGATAAATCAACCAATAAATTCAAACCATTTAAAGGGGAGTGGGTAATACCATTTTTAAAATATATTTTACTTCCCAGAAATCATATTTGAAAATGTTTCCAAAATTATTAGCCTTTTCCCTCCACAATTCCACAATATTTCTGGGGACCCTTTGCGTTCAGGGTATTTGGCAGAACAATAGGCCGACCTAACCTAATAAAGCCGAAAAACAAAGACGCCGCTAAACAAAAGCCTCTTGTCGTTGTTTGTTTCTGTTTGCTGCGTGCTTCGAGTGGCAAGCTGGCAGCATTTTATTTCCGCTGATGTAATTGAAAAACTTTTTCATTTAATATAAAGTTTTCAGCAGCAGCCTCCCCGCAGCACAAAGGCCGAGAAAAGAAGGCAAGAAGGCAAAGAAATCCCGGGCCTACTGCTAGACTAGACATATGTGTGTATGGTCTGTGTGTGTGATTGGGTTCTTGGGCTCTCGGAGGCGTTGTTAGTTGACAATCGACGGGGCGGACCCACTCACTAACCCCGGGCCACCCCTTTCGAGGGACCACTTCACGGGGTTCCGAGCCGGTGGCTCACTTCAGAGCCAAGTGGCATGTGTTTTCGCCATGGCGACACCTGCTCCTCGTGACACAAAGGACTCCGGCTCGAGGACCCGGCTGTTGAACTGTTGAACTGCTGAACAACCGAACGGCGGAACAGTTGAACCTCTCACACAGCGAAGGGCTAAGTCGAGAATTCCGGCCGAAAATCGCGAGTGGCATTAAGGGCTTCTCCTCCTTTGTAGTGTGCTCTAGTTTATGAAATTTTAATTCGGGCCACATCCGCTCCAGTGTTGCATTTAAATAATTTATAGCATTTCCACAGAACTTTCTCTGGGTCGCAAGCAAACCTTTTCCTTTCCCTTTCACCCATCTTATCCTATCCCACATTCAGACTTTGATTCTCCCGCCTTAAGTTTGTTGTATCGAATCGAACAGAACAAACATGAACACAAGTGTTTCCGGGTAACATTAAAGTAGATATCGTAAATTGGAACGGCTAACATTGTAAGGACTAACTAAATATAGGATAGCCCCAACCGTTTGAGACTTGTATGTAAACGTAGCTATAGAGATCGTTTAAGCAGAGCCCAAGCTTTCACCTTTTAACGTAAATGTTATGTAAAGTGTTCAAGACTTTCCCACTGTAACATAAATTGAAGTTAAGTCGAGGCAAGCGGAGATTGCAAAGTATTTTGAGGAGTGTAAGAAACCAATACAACTAGCAATAGCTAAAATGCATATGAGAAGGCGAGGGCAGAAGCAATCATTTAAGCACAATATGGAATATTGTAAATGGCATAAATAAATCATTAGACGTAAGAACAAAGCAAACACACTAACACCTGCAGAAAACACCCACACACTCGTACTCGGAATGATTTGTGTATGTAGCGAACGATTAAGTTTTATTTTCACCAAGTGAGTTAGTTGGCAAAATGCACCTAAAGGAATATAGCAGCAGACACTAAATTAACAAAGCGAAAAATACCAAAAAAAATACGACACATTTTAGCCTAGCGAACTGTTTAAATCTCAGCCCAGACACAGACACACTCGATGGAATATTAAGGTAAAGAATTGCCTGCAGGCGGAATAATTTTAAATATTATACGGCATACACTACAATATAAAGAGAATGTTTAGCATTAAGTTAATGGTTTGGCAAGGCAGAAAACATACGCATAAACCGAATAAAAGGCCCATAAACGGTCGCAAAACATTTAAAAAGATAACAGAGAGAGATACAATTTGAAAAGGACAATGGGAGGACACACAATCTAGTTATAAATTAATTTTCTAAGTTAAATTAAAACTTAAATGCATACGGATAATAACAGAAGCAAAGTGTAAAAAGGATAAGAGAGAAATTAAACCGAATAAAACGCATTAAACCGAAGAATTTAATAAAAACTAAACTATGTCGCTTCTTATTTAAGCCCGATGGCCGCAGCATTGCCAACAATGGGGATGCAAACAATTCCAGCGATTGGATATTAAATAGACGGAGATGGAGCCTCTTTTATTTTCTTTTTTCGCAGCTTTTCTGCAGCTGGATAATGCCATACTAACGACGAATAGCGAGGGAAATGCAAATGCGTTGCTAAGTAGGCTACGCAAAAAAACAATCTGAAGCTGCAGGGAATGCTGAGCTTCATAGATGTGCTGGAATATTAAAAGAAAATTAAATGTAAGACGGACAGGGTAGGTATACATCGAAACAGAGAAGAATCCAGATAAATGCCCTTTTTATACCCATTACTCGTAGAGTAACCATTCATTAAAAAGTTATGAGCAGATAGTGGAATTCAAGCAGTGCAGTGCAGGTACTCGTTCTGTCTCGTTGTTGAAAAATAATCAGTCAATTTGAAGAATTTAAAAGCAGAATTGAGTTAGGAAGAAGTAGTTGAATAAGAGTTCATTGAATTGTTTTGCAAAGACAAAAGTATGAGAAAATGAAAAATAAAGCGAGGAAAGGTGCAGAAAAATACATTTCCATGTTAATTAAAGTTTTTGCAATCACCTGAGAAGATTAAGTGGGTATGAAAGAAATAGCTAAAATATTAAAGGGAGCAAATATAAGTTCCACAAAATATCTACAAACTCAAGACAATTAGTATGATTAATTAAATTAAACTGCTTAGACCAAATAATTGCTAGCATACTTAAATATTTATAATTTAATAAATTCAGCATGGTGAAATGTAATTATCGTAAGTCAAAGCCCACCCAAAAGTCGAGCAAAATCCCACCGAAACGCAAGCCCTTTTGGCATATGTAATGACAGCTTTACTGCCACAAGTTTACTCGAGCAACAAAGCCCGTTGCAGCACAAGGTTATTTGCGGCCTCAAGATGCGCACATCACGCATACGCAGTGTCTGCCCAAAATGAGCACATCAAGGCGCGGCAAGGTCACAGCCAACAGCCGGCTGTAGCTCAAAGTGAAGCTAACACAAGGCCCGGACTCAAAACCCGGACTCAGAGCCCGGGCACTGACGCATTATACGTTTCAGTGCGCAATAATGTCATTAAAAGGCGCAAAGCGAGGAACGGAGGCTGCGAGCGCCAAGGAGGAAGCACAACTGGGTCAGTTAATGCAGCCAGAGCCAGCCAGTTGTTACCTCGACCTGACATTTATGAGCAGCTGTAGAAAGCTGCAGATAGCTGCCCCGGAGCGAAAGACACTTTCCAGCGCCGAGCAATTAAGAGCAGGGTTTAAACCACCTCCGCAGCACGAGCAGCAGCAGCAGCTCCACATGAGTGTTGAAATTTATTGGAAATGCCTTAAGCCCGCACACCCGAAAGACGCCTAAAGCCGGCAAAAATATGGCCACGGAAGTGGGGCGGCGATAAGGAGGAGCAGCCACATCGTTGACAGCAGCAGAGAGAAAAACCAAAGCCAAGCAGGAATTGCGGCAACGGCATCAAAATCAAAGACGACTCTGAGACTCCGACCAGAAACCAAAGTCAGAGGCGCGCATAATTAATGTAGGCATAAAAACAAGTGACTTGTAAATATTGCCAAGGCAATGCACAGACCCCAAGCACCCCAACATACCATACTCTAACCATATCTCCCAAATGCCGAGTATCTTTGGGATGCGAATATGGTCGGGCGTGTGCCTTTGGTGCGGCTACTTACAAAGTGGCAAGTACGAGCGAGGACTGCGAGCCTGAGGTTGCCAGGCATCGAACAGTGGGACCAAGCTTCCAAAGAATATTTGAAATCTTTAAGGTAAATTTATTTCAAACCACAAATTAAAGTGGTATTTTATTTCAAAGTAAATTGTTAAATAACTTTTTATTTGTATTATTATTTAAAATTTGACAGCTATAGTACCACTTTCGACTTTTATCTTTTTAAAATTTAAAAAAAAAATGTTGGGAAACAGTGTTTATTAAAAACACAACACGAGTAAATGATAGGGGAACATTTTATTAAAAAAATTAGAATATAAAAAAAACTAAAATTCTAACCTTTATAAAAATTTAAATTATTTTTAAAAATTTATTTGCACTTATTTAGTGATTTAATTAACTTACAACTTAGTTCATTAACTTTAAAATGGAGTAACCATTCTAAATGTATGGAATATGGTTGTGTATCACTAATAATTTGTACAATTTCGTTACCAATTCAGACACAAAAGTTTTAGGACAAAACAAATAATATATATTTAGGATATTTTCACAACAAGTTCCAGGACACGGTGCATCATCTAAGTTTCACTTTGGTGGGACGGCGCCCGAGTGGGCAAGACGCAGAGCCACTTAAAAGCGCACACAAAGCCAGCTCTGCGTGTGTGTTTGTGGGTGTGCGTATCCTGGTTGTTTATGTGTGCGAGAGATGGCCGATTCCCGCCCCTCCCCGTCCTCGTCCTCCGACTGACTGCCTGCGTTTATATGGTCTAGTGATTGTGACATTGTAGCTACAATTACAAGCGGAAGTGACGCACATCAACGCACAAATATGGAGGCGTCTATCTTTGCTTTAT